AATTTAAGTTGTCACTTAAAGCCAGTCTTTTTTCTTTAAAAGAATCGCCTATGTAAGGACTTTATGTTCATTAAAAAAAAGAACCAAAAAAACAACCAAGCCCCAACCACCCTCCTCCCCCCCCCCTAAAGAAAGCAAACAACTCCGCTCCACAAAATAAAAACATCCCTTTTCTTCCTAACTTCACAGGCTTCATCCCAAAGCAAAGATGAGCGAACCAGCATCAAAGGCCGCACTCGCCACGTCAGTCGAAGCGAGTCGAACAAGTCTTTGCTCAACGGATACCACCCTCATCACGAAGGAGGCGGAGGAGGTCCGAACCAAAACCCTCTGGAGCGCCAGGCATCTAAAGCCTCTCTACCAATCGGTGGTCAGCACCGAGCCGGAATGTCCGTTTTCCGGGTCGTGGCTGCAGCCAGAGCGTGGAAGAAACTGTCCCAGAGGAAACCACTGGTTCCGGAAAAACCCAAAGTCAGAATGGAAAACACGTACCGGCTGGGCCCCGAACCCGAACACACCTTTAAACCGGATAAAGTGAAAGCCGTCATCAAAGACGTGCTCAGTGGCTTTCTGAGAAACTTTAAGTACACACCAGAAGGGTCCAAACAGATGTGTTTGACGATTTCTTCGGAAATTAAGCACCGTGTGAAGAGGATGAATTTTCCTAGGTACAAAATAGTCTGCAATGTTATCATTATGCAAAATAAAGGTCAAGGTTCGCAGGTTTCGAGTCGGAGTGTGTGGAATGTCGCGACAGATTCCTACGCGTCCCACACGTTCAGCACCAGTCAAGTGGTTTGTGTAGGAAATGTTCACGCCATCTATTTCGAATAAAGACACACGAACCATAAGGGCAGCCAAAGAAACGCTCTCATAATGACCTTATGCAGTTGCCAGCGCCGTGAACCTTTTACCAAAGTGAAGCTACAGCACAAAGAACACCAAGAACAGCAAATCCGGCAACAAGAACAGCAATCTCAACAGCAAGAACAATAAGTGAAACCAAAGAGTCTTCATAACAAGAGGGTCCACTCCTCTCTTTGAGCCAATTAAAAAAGTGTCTTCAAAATTTGGTGGCGCCCTCTTCGCAAACGCGTACCCTTAACGAACAGAGTTACCCTACTTGAGTTTAAAAAATCAAAGTGAAACTAGCAGGTTTTTGAATAAATTTCGGAAGAACGCTTTTTTAAAATGGTTACGCTGACAAAAAACCATTTCCGGAGGAAGGGGTGATTGTTTTCTTCGTTTAATTTGACTTTAGAATGAAAGGCGAGAGATCATTAAAATAACCCCCCCCCCTAAAACTCCGCACTGAACGAACCCGAACTGACTGCGGATGAACAGCAGTCGATCTGCGCACGCAAGGAGGGGCCATTCCTATTCTTCTTCTGGAGAAACGAAAAAGAGCTTCAAAACAGACTGCAGCGCCATCTGTAGCAAAGAGCGAACTTCCGGCGGACACCTTTTTGGCTGAGTGGCCCATCTTGTTATGTACTATCTTTGGTGAAACAGAATTGTAGCTCGATCGATTATCTTGGGGCTGAGCTATTATGTTCGTAAAGTTTGGGAAAAAAAAAAAAACCCTTTTTTTTACCCAAAACCCCCCCAAACCCCCCCCTCCTAACATAAAAAAAAAAAGGAACCCCCCCCCCCCCCCCCCCCCCTTAAAAACCCCAAAGAAAAACAACGGAACTGTTCCATGGATGAAAGAACAACATAACTGACGTGGCCTTGAACTTGACTTTATTCACATTGACCTTCAACTTACCCAATACATACGTCATGGTGCTGTCAATATGGCTTAACTCACTTTTTTTTTTTTCATTATTTGATATAATCGAGAAACCAATATTATTATAAACCGTTCAAATAAAAAATGGAATTAATACATGTAATTATAATAATAATGTGGATCATTTCTATAGCGCCCACTCCCGTGTGAACACATCTCTCGTCGCTTTACATAAATGCATGAACGAACACTATTCCCGCACGCACGCACACACACACACACACACACACACACACACATACACACACAAACACGCACACACACACATACACACTCACACACACACACTCACACATAAACGCGCGTGAGTTCACACTCAGACACGACCAAACACACGCACACATTACACGCACACATGTGCACGCACACATGTGCAAACACACACGCACGCCAAACACACACACACACACACACACACACACACACACACACACACACGCACACACACACACGCACATCTACTTGCTTATCACATGCGCACGCCTACACATCGTTTCGAAATGAGCACAAACAAATACATAATAAAATAGAGTACACGATGCAATTCCCAAAATACATAAATGGATACATAGTCATTTACATAACATTGTACCTTAGATTAATCTACTGACATAAACATGATTTCATTAATAAATGTATCTTTAAAGAAATCTTAAATTTAGACTCAGATGTTGTATGTTTCAAGGGGTTGGGGAAGAGAGTTCCAAACTGATGGAGCAAGGTGGGCTAACGATTTTCCAGCTAATTTTTACCTCCTTTTCTAGGAACTCTTAGAAGATGCTGATTGCCTGATCTTAGTAATCTAGATGGAACATAAAATAAATCTGGATGAGATCACAAAGATATGAGGGAGCTTTGTTACTGACACATTTATGGCATAATATTTCAATTTATGGCATTCTAGCCGACAAGGGGAGCCAATGCAATATTCTTAACATGGGAGTAATGTGATCCCTCTTTTTCTTTAGTACAAGCCAAGCAGCATGATTTTGAAAACGTTGTAACTTGTGACGAGTGGTATTTGGTATGTTAGAAAGTAATGCATTGCAATTATCGACGTGTGAAAACAAGAAAGATGAATTGTCTAAATTTAGGATCACGGCCCGACAATTTTGATAAAAATCAATGCTTAATTATGATGCACCATGAACATGGGAGCTACAAAATGGTTACATTCCACTATTGTTTTACTAGGGCCATAATGGCAGCACCATGACGACATTATCATTATTTTCTTGACCAGATTTTTGGGAATTTTCATAGCAACTGCCAAGGCTTAATTAAACATCTTCTTTTTTTTTTAATCTCAGAGGTGTTACTACTGAATAATTCCCGTGTCCCGCCGAATTAAAGATTCATTTTCTAGCAACTCCTATTTTCGCTAGAGGTTTTCAGTGCTGGAAGAAACTGGAAAAACAGAGTTCGTTCAAGATAGCCCTTAGCTCGCGATGTGGTGCTTTTTAAAAGTCTAGTGTGATACTTTTAATAATAAATATCATTGTGTTATATATCATACTATGCATGTTGAATGTTATCACTCACAAATTGTTATAGTTGAAAATCTTGTTATTCCGTCCCCCATTGTATTATAACTTCTATATTTTTTTTATATTTTTAACATCTATGGTGACGAAGGGAGCACATCATAATGACAGTAAACTTCGATCCTTCTCTCTTTTAATAAATTGTAATATCAAGCGTCTTTTGCCCTTGACGTCAGAGCGATCTACATGAGACCCCACCGAGTCTGGAGACCCGGAAGTGCGTACTATGTCAGATATTGCCCAATGGTTGACTAAAGTTTACTTTTTCAATGACCTCATATGGCATGTATTTTACGATTGTGTCATTCCTTCCTTCACTTTGATATATCCTGTATGTGTGAATGTATTTTATTATGTTGGTGATGAAGTTTACAAAGAGCAAATCAAATAGAAACTCCCAAGTTACGTTTCCCCGTCTTGCAAGATCTAAGTAGCCCGTCTCTAAATTGATCTAAATTGTGTCTGTAGAAGCGTGAAGAATACAATCAAGAAAAATAACCACACCCCTGCTGCATTTTGTGTAACCCTTATTATGCCCCCAACGACACAATTTTAGATCGTTTGAACAGAGTGTAAAATGTACCAATGTGTTGGTAAAATTAACACTAGAGTTGTAAAATATTGTAAGAGTTGGTTGTAATTTCTATGGATTTTACAGAAATGAGTAAGTTATAACAATACGTTAAAAGTGTAATGACCCAACCATCACGTTTTTAAAAAACAGATTAGGATAAAATTGAATAAGACTGTTTCTATTTTGTGAGATCACTTGTAGGGATGTAACAGAGTGTAATATGTACCAAATATGAACATTGTAAAATAGTATAGGTTCAATATTTTTAGTTTATATAAGAGGTGGTACCTCCGAGTGCAACACCCGTCTCCGAAAGAACTGAGCCAAATGGAACATTTGTGTGAAGTGCCTTTCCCAAGGACACAACGTCGGGTCATGCTGGGTCTCGCACCCCAATTTATCCGCAACTTCACGATTACGAGTCTGATAGTCTGTGACCACTAGGCTACCAACGTCCTCTGTACCAATGTATTGGTAAATATTAAATACTAGAATTGTAAAACACAATGAGAGTTGGTTGTTATTACTATAAAATTACAAAAACGAGTAAGTTTTAACAATGTAATAAACGTGTTACAACTGACGGATCAAGTTTTTAAAGAGATTAGGATAAAAGAGAATAGACTGTTTTCAGTTTGTCAGATCACTTACAGGTTTTATCATAGTTTATTATGTACCAATGTGTTAATAAAATTAATAAGTAGAGTTGTAAAAAACAATAAAAGTTGG